AATAAATAAATAAATACTGTACTCTACTGTTGCAATATGGGGCCTAATAGACTCCAATATTTCAAAACATCAACGAATAGCCAAATCATCTGGCATTGCAGCAATAATGAAACTAAGTGGATGAATCTGGTCAGTTCTTTGGCTGGGAAACCATAGGAATCACCACTTAAGAGCATAATGTTGGGAAAGTGAGAAAAGAAAATGTCTGAAGCCTGACAGTTCCTTCTGATAGCCATCACCACTGTGGGTGGCTCTTGCATTTCCTTCTCCCTTTACATGAAAAAAATTAACTTCTACTTTGGGAGTTCTTCTATTCACAGTGAAGAACAGAAATGAAGATAACAGAAATGAGAAAATAATACACATGTTGTTGCACAATGAAAGACTGCAGGGATGCCCCCATACCCCCTTAAACACACTGACATGTATGAAAAACAAAGCATCGCTTGTTCTGAGAGCCAGTCTATGGCCCTTTGGATACCACAATAAACCACGGTTCATCTTAGCAGCAGTGAAGTGTAAGAATTGGGCTTATACGCTCCCCTCACTATCCACCCCCCCATGCTAAGATTGCAGAAATTTGTCGCTCCATTTTGATTAACAGAAATTTGTTGTCTGAATGAACTTGAAGAACAGTGATTAATCTTAACTTCATTTGGAAAAAGCCAAATAATGAGTTATAAAGTTAGCTTGTTTCAAATAAACTGCAGTTAAGACTAAACAAATCTTAGTGTCCTGATGCAGTGCTAAACTGCATCTAATCACAAACACAAGCACAAACATCTGATTTCCTCAGGACATGAAAGCTGAAGTCCTGTTCATACAGACATGCCACAAGGCTGATGACATCATAAGGCTGCAATGTTTTTTTGGGACATAAAGTTTTTCCAGTTCTCCCTCTCTGAAGATCCCAAGGTTCCTATGGAATCCTATTCATCATGGGGAAGCTGCTGAGGCCACTGGAAGGGCAGGGAAGTCTTTAATTTCTGAAAACTGCCAATGCCAGAATGATTTTAAGCTGCAGCAAATTTCTCTCCTCCATTCCATGGTCCGCCAGTGGCTCTTCACCACAACAAATGGGATTCTAGGTGAGTCTTGGGAACGTCCAGGAGCGTAGGAATTGGAAATTTGTTATTTCTGAATAAATGCCACAGCTGATGATGCCATTAGGCTTACACTGTGTAATTTATGGAGCAGGATTTCAACCAATGGAAGAAGAGGGCTAGGGAAAACACATAAGCCTAAGGTTTGCAGCTTGTTTTTGTCACAATAACCCATGGCTTATCCTGACATCTATACCAGCTCTACATTAGCTCCTGTTTATCAGAAGCTTCTAAACTGTGATTTATCTTAACCCTGATCTGCTGTTCTACCCAAATAAACATACTATACTTACACCAACTGCTCCAAAACATTGCTGATCTACCTTCTTGTATTCTCTAAAGGTAGCACAAACCTTATTGGCATGACACCTGGATTAATCTTATACGAGGAAACATTATAGTAGTCCATTTAAACATTTTACTCACCTCTGATGATTTCCGTCCCAGTAGCAAATAGGTAGCAGTTATTTCATCGTATTTCATTTTACTAAGAGATTCCTGTATTTCTTCTTGAGAATATCCCATGCCAACCATAATATCTAAAATAAGTTGAGTTTTTTTAAAAATAACACCACTTTGTTAGTATAGCAGATAAGGTTGATAATTAAAACAACCCCTACAAAACTTAGCTTCTTGTCATGCAACAGTATCATGGCCAAGATCTTTCCTCTATCTTAATATGCACATTTTAGCAAGCAATAAATTCTTGTATCATAAGCTACACCATTTCTACTATAAGTATATACATGCCAGTGATCCCTGTTTGGTGCTTACCTATTCTCTTCTGGTCTGAGATATCTAACTCTGGTTCAACAAAAGGTTTAAGTTCGTCATCTTCATGCCCTGCGTTTATCCACCTGTCCTTCATGATTTGCTGCAGAGAGAGATTTTGTATTAGCATGACAGTAACAAAAAAAGCTGGTAAAGATTATTATTACATACAGTGGTGCCTCGCTTAGCGACGTTAATCCATTCCAGAAAAAAACATCGCTAAGTGAAATTACCCATAGGTAAAGGTAAAGGTTCCCCTTGACAATTTTTGTCCAGTCATGTTCGACTCTAGGGGGCGGTGCTTATCCCTGTTTCCAAGCCATAGAGCCAGCATTTGTCTGAACAATCTTCCATAGTCACATGGCCAGTGCGACTTAGACACGGAACGCTGTTACCTTCCTACCGAGGTGGTCCCTATTTATCTACTTGCAATTGCATGCTTTCGAACTGCTAGGTTGGCGGGAGTTGGGACAAGCAACGGGCGCTCACTCTGTCGCGTGGATTCGATCTTACGACTGCTTGGTCTTCTGACCCTACAGCACAGGCTTCTGTGGGTTAGCCCGCAGCGCCACCACGTCGATTAATGAATTCCTATGGGCTTAAAAACTCACCTTAAAGCGAAAATCCTCCATAGCGCTGCCATTTTCGCTGCTTCTTAAGCGAGGAAAAACAGTGGGCGGCCATTATGTTTTCCTGGCGGCCATTTTGAAACCGTCGATCAGCTGTTAAAAAAGGGTCGCTTTGCCATGATCGCTTCCCCGCGATCATCGCACAGCGAAAAAACCCGTAGGGACCATCGCAAAGCAATCGCTTTTGCGATCGCAAAAAGTTAGTCGCTAAGCGATTTCATCGCTCAACGGAGCGATCGGTAAGTGAGGCACCACTGTATTTTAATCTGAGTAACTGCAAACAAGTAATCTGCCTTATTCTAAGGTCAAGGCACTGGTGCTTGCCTTTTCCTCCTTTATTTACAGTGTCTTCATCCTCAAAGTCCTTTCATCTTATAGAGAAAAGCAAAAATATCATGCATTTTTGAAACCTATGCCAATGTTATTTTTTGTAGTGTCCCACCCAGCATGATGCATCAAGAAGAGATAGACATTAGGTTTTAGAAACAGGAAAGCTGATGACAGCTGAAGAGGTCAAACACTGAGTTATGTCTACAAGTGGGACATCAATATCTACAGTAATATAGCTGTAGAAATTGATGTCTTGAAGTGACAGAAGAACTATGTAAAGGCATGTTTTATCAGATATTAATTCTTACAACATTGCATAGTAAGCATTCTACCCCAGCAGATTCTGGCAGCTGGCTCAAGGTCCGCTCAGTCTTCCATCCTTCTGAGGTCAGTAAACTGAGTGCCCAGCTTGCTATAGGGGGTGAGGGAGCACTATGGGGCGGTATATAAGCAGTGCCACACCAGTGTTAATTTGTGCAGCAGTCTGAAAACTCTAAACATGGTGTGCTATGCTGTTCCTATTATACTGATGTACTACGATATTTAATACTCTTAAGCAATATATAATTAACATGGCGGTTAGGGCTACCTATGTGCTACTATTCCCAGTAACTGTGTATTATCTCCAGTCCCAAGAGGCATTGCACCTCTGTACATCAGCTGTAGGGTGGAGATGAGGATGAAGGTGCTATTACAATCACACACTGCTTGTGGGGTTCCAACAGCATTAGTTCGGCCACTGTGGAAACAAGATGCTGATCTGATGAAGAGGGCTATTTACCTAAGCCAGTAGAGGGAGATAATTAAGGATCTCTATGGAGAAAAAAAATCCCAGTCAAATTAACTACTTTTTCTTCTCATTCCCCCTCAGAAAAGAAAAGAAACTAAAGTTTAACTTGAATGATATGAGGCCCTGGATGTTTCAGCAACAGTAACACCTCTATATGTAAAAATCAGTGAGACTTAGCCTGACCACTTCCTTCTCTCCAAGCAAGAACAACAGCTGTGTGTAATATATGACAATGGAGACCAAGAATGATGTAGAGCATTGATCCCCAACCTTCGGCCTCCAGATGTTCTTGGACTACAACTCCCAGAAGCCTTCACCACCACCTCTGCTGGCCGGGATTTCTGGGAGTTGAAGTCCAAGAACATTTGGAGGCCCAAGGTTGGGGACCACTGATGTAGAGGACCCAAGCTGACTGAGGAATGTTCCACTGACGCTATTTGGCATGTAAAATGGTTAACAAAGAAGCAGTAGTGGGAAATCAAACAAGTAAACAAGTAACAAAGTGGCTCATTTAATATAAACCACACATCGCACATTGCCATATACAGTACTCTAACAGTAATAAGTCATGACTTAAAATGAAATAGTTGTATCTTTACAGGACCCTGGGTTTATAAGACATTGTTTCAAATAAGCCATTTGATATAGAAATAGTTTTTAAATAGGATTAAAAACATACTAATGCAGCATGCACAAGTCTTTAAATGTGCAACTCAAGTTGCAGTTAATTTAGGTTGCACTGACACCAAAAGGAGCTTCGTGAATCAGTACCAGATTGACACAATGAAGACATCTTGTTTAGTTCCGAATTGATGAAGACAAAGGACACCCTCTAGGTGGAGCACATAATCTCTGTAAAATTCTTAACAGCCTTAACCATCAAGGTCACCAGTGGAGACACTACACTAAGGTATATTCAATTGCTTAGTAGCATGAGGTGCTTACGTAACACAGTACAAGTCAATATTTGTATGAATTCTTCTGTAAGGCTAGCAATTTGGATGGTGCCTCTATGTGATGTCAGAGAAAGTAATATGACCCTGGTAGGGGAGATTCATTATGTCTGTAGGAAAATGTTCCATTACAGAATGGCATGATTTTTCTGCGAATGCCCAAGGTAAATGTTATGTTATGTTAAGGTAAAATGATCATGCACAAGTAACTTCACAAACATTCACAAATTATTATTTTTTAAACGAAAAGATCAGCTAGTTACCTCAAGAGTGCCCCTTTTAGTTGGATTTAGCACCAGGAAACGTTTTAGCAGGTTTTCACAGTCTGTTGACATGTAGAAAGGAATTCTGTATTTTCCTCTCAGCACCCTTTCTCTCAGTTCCTTCAATCAAATCAAACAATAGGAAACAACAAACAGTTGTCAAAAGCACAGCAATTAAAAATATGTTTACAAGATTATCTCGATCCTACCCAGCCCTCCAACTGTAAATTAGGCACATACCTTTAGATTCTGCCCATCAAAAGGCAGCGACCCACTCACAAGTGTGTAAAGAATGACACCTAAACTCCAAACATCTACTTCCGGTCCATCATACTTCTTGCCTTGGAAGAGTTCTGGAGCAGCGTATGGAGGGCTGCCACAAAATGTGTCCAGTTTATTTCCAACTGTAAACTCGTTGCTAAAACCAAAATCGGCAATTTTAATGTTCATGTCCGCATCAAGCAACAGATTTTCAGCCTAGAGAGAAAAATATGTAGCAAGACATGAGATTTTGTCCTCCAAAATAAGAAGCTTCCTGCGTTTTGACGAATTTCCAAGATCCAGCTTACACTGTCAACTACAGCAATAGAAAAAAAAATTCGACTTAATATTTACCTCACAAGACTATATAGCTGCTTAACCTAAACATGTAAAGCCATTGACATAACCTAAGCACATAATGTAAAAACCCTATGCAACTGTTTATCTGCTTGCACACAGCATTAAATGTGTGGTAGCACCACAGGTATGCCAAGAAGCACCCCTGTAATCTGGCAGCTTCATAATGCAGAGTCCAGTTCAGTCAAATGTAGTTAACAAAACCTTCTGCAAATCTTTCCACATGAAGGTCTGTGACACTGCTGGATACACGGGGACATCTGGAAGGAGGATTCAAATGCATGTTCATTATCTCCACCAAATATTTAACCCTGCTTGCTTTAAGTAAAATGCCTCAATAAGGCTTTACATTACTGCAATATCACTATATAGACAATATACAAACAGCTTTTGATACTTTTCCCCCTCTGTGACTCAAATGTTTGGCACATATCAAATTCTACTGCCAAAAAAGGAACCCAGTTTCTCACAATAAAGAGCAAACAGAGCTCTATTTTGTTTCCTCTTTGAAAGCAGAAGTATCTTAAATAAAATAATGCAGCACTGCCTAGACAGCTCAGTCTGCATTAGTCATCATGAGAACTAGGTTTTCTGTTTCTAAAATGAGTGAGTTTTGGATTACGGGATAAAAAAGGAGAAGGTAGCATATACTGGACACAGCAACAAATTGTAAATGAAGAAGGAAGGAAAGTTTTGAAAGAATATTTGAGGAAAGGAAGGACAGGCCAAACAAGAGTGGCAACACAGCAAAACCAGTAAAGGACATTGAATATTGAAGAAAATATGGAGTTGTAATCAGGAGATCGGCAACCATGGGAATGCTGCCACTAATACAGATAGTGGGTTTCATCAATGACGTTGCTGATACCACTGGGCACAAGAGCAGCTCTTCCCCGAGGCAGCAAGCGATACCAAAAGGAAGAAGCAGAAAGGAGTTCTATAAAGCTAGAAGTGAGAAACGAGCAGAAACTTTACTCTTGATTTTGCCTCAGCAACGGTGCTGTGATAGTAACAACTATGTGCAGTCAAAGTCCATTCTGACTTTTTTTCAGGATTTTCAAGATAGAAAATACTCAGAAGTGGTTTTCCATTCCTTTGGGTCTGTGCAGCTTGCCCAAGGCCACACAGACCGACTATACTCAGAGGAGGCACACTGGAAAATCTCTCAGTCTCTGGCTCTGCAGCCAGATTGCTAAACCACAGAGGTTTCCAAACAGCTTTGAAATTTCACAATGATGTATAATCTACCTTTATTTCATAAGTCATTTATAACTGAAAACCATTTTCTCCAAGATATTCTCAGATCTGTTTCTCAAATATCCTGAATTTTAGTAACATGCCAACTTATAACAATGAATAAGACAGATTATTTCATCCTTAACATGTTGACCAACAGTTTATATTTAAGGAAACACATCATTTATTTTTCCACTAAAAGCGGGGAAATATAGCAATCTAGGATGTGTTAATAAATGTTCATGTAGAAATTATTGGGACTTTTCTTACCTTGAGATCTCTGTGAACAATATGCTTTTGGTGGCAATACTGCACTGCAGATACGATCTAGATAGAAAACATGCTGAATTATAGAAAGTGATACAGATCAAATAAAGTGTGTCGCAGTTATAAATTTTAATAGTAGGAAGCAATATAGTTCCCATTACAAGTAAACTGCAAATCTAAATACACTTAATTGTGGACAAGTCTCATTGAAATCAATAAGAATGGTACAAATATGTGCATTTCAGGTAAGAGTCAAAGTGATAATTGAAGGCAAGCCTATTACTTACTTAGGCTACTGTTAGCCTTCAAACAGCAATTGTTAGGGTTTCTCTGTATGGTAAACAAGATTTAATAGTCAGACAGTACGTTGCAAGAAAGATACCTTATTGTCACTTATGCTTATGAGTGTCTTTACAATTTCTCTAGCTTTCAGTGCTTTCAGGAGAAGTGAGGTCAAAGCACAAACAGTGCTCCAATGGACTGAACTATTTTCCTACTCTAATTTGGTGGGTGTATTTCTGATGTGCAGTTTTATTCAGATATGCCCTCAGTACAGATAATAAAACATGTGGGGGGCATTCTAGTCCCGATTCCATTCTGACAGCTTTTGTAACTCTATTCATAAGAAGAGCAAGGGACTGAAAAGGATTTCCTTATATTCATGGAAGCTGTCACGCAATCAACACTATCTACCCTGTTGGCTATGCAGGTTTGTGCCCTCAGACAGACCACGATTCTTCATGGTGTGGTTCTTCAAGTATGGAGAGTAACAGAAGCAATAATACTGGTTGGCAGGTTTAGTACTTTTCCCTTTCAAAGCAGAGAATGCCTGAAAAGTTCTTGATATTATCTGATTAACCATTGCGCTTAACTCAGGAGATCATATTTCTAAAGAGGTTCAATCCTGGATTAGGGGTGAATCTTAGTACAGTCTATGGTTAGTATTGACAGTGACATAATCATTAAAGTTTTTAACATAACTTAAGATGGGTTATAACTAAAAATGGGGGTATTCGTATACCCCCTGGCAGGAGGCGGGAATTCAAGCCTCGTTGTAAGGTCGAAGAGTGGTAAGCAGATTGCGCGCTGTGGAGCCATTGGTAGAATCACCCTGTCCGCGTCAGATTGATGAGTGGGCCATCTGGCTCCATGGGGCTGAACGTCAATGCCACCTCTGCATGGATATTCATATATGAATACCTCCATCTCTAGTTATAACTGCCAGCAGTAGCAAACTACAGTAGATACCTTTGCCCATATATCACTTTTCTACTCTACTACTAGCTAAACGCATGTTCTGTTTCAGAGGATAATTTTGTAGTCCCTTCCACAAATTTATGAATTAAATTAAGTATGGATTACATTGCTGACAATTACACTCACATAATCCACTGTATGGATTACAAGCAAATTTCAGTAAATCCTTTAAAAACATGGGTTACATAAGGAGTTTGTAATCAGCGCCTAAAATTGCTCATTTTTTATTCAATATGAAGACTCTTCTATAGAACTCAAATATAAGAGTGCCTCTAATCATATACAGAAAAGGTCTTGGAATACACTTAGTGACAAATATATATATACACTTATAGACAGCTGCTCAACTATCTATCTCACAAAAGTCTCAAATCTCTTCCATGAAAAGATTTCAGCTTCAAGCTAGAGCTAGAAACATTTCTGCTTTCAATGTTCTGGGAAATAATTCCAAAGTGAAGTTACTTATATACCTCAATAGCACTTTGTTAGAGACTGGTTTCCAGGCTGAACAGCAAAAATTATAATACAGAACAGGAAGAGGGGAAAAACGAGAACCAGAAAGTTAAACTTGCATTCTGAGATAGAAGTAAGTTAAATCAAGGACAAGTTATTCCACTTGTTTTCTCTGAGCAATTTCCAACTGGTAACTACTGTATCTCAATGTAGCCTTTCTGAAAAATAGCTCAGCTCAGATGTTCCCAAATTACAACTGATATTACATGAACTAGCATTAGGCTCATGCCCCCTCTCACATAATCTGATTGCAGCAGCAGCCTCTTTTTTATGCAAACTGAAAGTTTGCCATTATATCCTGGTCAATTAGGATTGACATGGTTGGTTCCCACCCTCCAAAAGAACATGGGATATAAAGTTTAGTTCCTCAGTCCACTTTTATTTGGAGGAACCTTCCAGGAAGTGTGCTTTTTCCTCATGTATATACTGAATTATACAAGAGCCACTCACTGCAGTGTTTTCATGTGTAGGTGAAGCATTACTGCACTGCAACCATGCTGGCTACACCAATTCTCTCAGCAATTTCCATCATCAACACCCCCTCTGATAGAGAGAGCTGAAATACTTTGAGGAAAATCTTGTTCAGCTTAGTAACTGGAAGTCTACTATACATACCTGCCTAAATTTAGCTCTTGCCTCCTTTTCCTTCATTCTTCCATGTGCAACTAGATAGTCAAATACTTCCCCTGGAAAAAATAAAACAGGATCTTTCACTATACCAGCTATTGTCTATTGTATTATGGCATTTTAACATCATGAACAATTTATGACAAGAAAAATTTAGAAGGCATATTTAATTCTTTTTTTAAAATTATCCAGTTTATGAATATATGGGATATTGTGCTTCTGCATCCAAGATTTGAAATGCCAGGAAATAGCCAGATATTGCTGCACAAAAAGAAGCAGTTTTACACAGCAATTGGCAGCAAGAACGTTGACAACACCAATGGCAGTAGTCAAGATGGTCTACAAGATACCCTGTTCTATTCACTACCATTCACAAAGTGACACCAAGTTTGAGAAAATCCCTGATGCTGACTCTTTTTTCCCATCAATTAACCACTTCTCATCCAAACATAAAGCAATTTTCAAGGCTGTTTTGTTTTGTTTTGGGTTTTTTTTGGCAAGCCAAACATAAAGCAATTGTCAAGGCTGTTTTGTTTTGTGTTTTTTTTTTGCAAGTATGAATGGTAGCGAACACAAGAGAGTATTCTGTAAACCATCTTAAGTGCTGCCATTGGTGATGTTAGCATTCAGACTGCCGTTTGTTATGTACAGCTTGGCATACTTTTTCCTGCTGGAAATGCAGACACAATATTGTGCAGCAATATCGGGCCATTCCCTGGCATTCTGAATTGTGGGTACAGGAAGCACAATATCCCACATTCACAAACTGGAGGCTTTTTTTTTTTAGAACTGAATTTCCTGGCTTTTTAAAATGGAAGCGTATGTATATATACACTACACACATATTCCAACAGAAACTTCCCTATGTAGAATTACCCAGTGTTAGTGCGTCTCAGAAGATGAGCACATGATCTGTATTATGTTTGCTGGGACTGAACAGAAGCAAGAACAGCTGGGGTGTGGCTGTAGTCCCTCTGTGTCAAATTATTTTGAAGCACTGTTTTGGACTTAAGGAAATGGTGAAGTAACAGTGTGAGTAGGTGCAACACATACAAAGGAGAAACATACCCTTTGACCTCTCAGGTAAACTAATGTTGCCATGTCCACTCTGCAGAATGCAGACTATAAAGCTATGTTCCAATATCCAAACCTTTTCCTCAGGGTAAGAAACCTGAGGAAGAAAAGCTATATTGAACCAAAAGCTCTATAGACATGTTGTGCACATGTTTTCCAAAAGACGTCTCCTTGCCTTTTGAAATTATAAAAAAGGGAGAGCTGGGAGTTAGCAACACCATGGGAAACCAAGCTCAAAACCATTCATAATGTATGAAAGAAATACAGTAAGGAAAGATGGGGACAAAATCAACTCATGTGAAATGTAATGTAGGGAGGAGAATCTTACAGATATCACATGCAACCAGAAAGGGAGAAAAGTGGGTGTTCAAGTCCACCTGATCTCTCATTAGAGGAGAAAGGAATAAACTGAAGTTATTCTATCATGCATATATAAGAGTAGTGGTTTGCCACTAGATGGGTGGGATACAAACATAATAAATAAATGAATAAATAAAACAAATATAAAGAAAATAAAGAGCTGAGCAGAAAAAACAATATTGATAGGAAAAGGAAGGGCAATAGGAAGAGAGGAAGACCTAATATGAGACAGATTGTCTCAATAAAGGAAGTCACAGCTGTTAGTTTGCAAGTCCTGAGAGATGCTTACTGGAAAATACAATATTGCTAGGAAGCAGAGGCAATAGAAAGAGAAGAACCTAACATGCTGTTGGTTTGCAAGAGCAGAGCAGAGAAGCTCATGATATAATACTTTGGAGGTCACAAACTCATATACTGTAGTCTCTACACATCAGAAGTTAACTGATGGCACATAACATTTTTGGATTTTTTTCTTAATTAAAGGAGAAGATGGGCAGAAAGTTCAAAACTGTAACAAGATACCAAAGCTCTCCTAACATTAGAAAGACCATCACCAGCCATAAAACAAAAACAAACAAACAGTAATTTCATAATAAACAATAAACAAATGAACTTCTAAAGACTTTTCCTCTATTATTTTACAATATTTTTACAACCAGACACTGAATCCCTTTCCCTGCACACATTCCCATCTTGGCAGGAAGGAGTTATAAGGTTCTCCTCTTGACAGTCAGCTACTTGGGTCCTAATTGACAGTGTCAAAAGTTCAGTCTGCCCCAGACCCTTGTCTAAGGAAAGATGGGGACAAAATCAACTCATGTGAAATGTAATGTAGGGAGGAGGAGAATCTTCCACATTTACCTTTAAAAGCCCCATTCCACTGGTGTACAGTCTCACTAGCAGTAAATTATCCTCTCGTATTATAATGTCATACAACCTAAACCTCACTTTCAGAAAGTACAAGTGGCTGCAAAAGGGAAGAGAGAAAGATTGAGCAATCTCCCTTTTCCTGATATAAGGAAAGGGTGCAACTAGATATGTTTCTTAAAGTGCAAAAAAAGCTGTTTGGAGCCTCTTGTTCAGAACCAAAACAAGCCACAACTCTGCTACCAGCTCTTAAGTTTGGCTTACGCAGTAAAATGTTGTCAATGGAGTGTGGGTGTGTTTGCATTAAAGATGCCAGCCAGCCAGCCATACTTACTTTAAAGACATTTAAAGACATTCCACCCAATTTCTGCCCTCAGTTTCTAACTGCTGGTTAAGCCAGCATTCTATCGTGCATTCAACAGGTTATGCTGCCTGTCCTCAGCACACTGGGTTTGTTTCTCTGCTATTTGGCCACATAAGGAATAAAATGGGAAGGAGATGTGTGTCTGTCTGTCAGCTTCTATGTGTGGGGCAATGATGGATAAGCAGAACTATATTTTTACTGAAAACATTTTTTGAAAAAAAAAAAAACACCTCTCCACCGTCAGAAAATTCACCAGAACACAGCAGAAAAAATATATTAGTCTCAAACAAACTTTAAAACTCTTGTATCAATTAATGAAGAAAGTCACAAGAGGCCAATTAAAAATAAAAGCTAAAGACTACAATCAGAGTACAGAAAGAACTACGTAATTCATTCCAAGAGAGATAACCAAAGAAAGGGAAATACTCAGCAGATACCATCATACTCATACAAGTCCTCTGACAATTCACCTTTCAGTCTTGCATTTCACTCCACAACAGGAAGATTAAACTTCTTTTGTGGTAATTATGCCACATGATGGTCATATTTAAGATGTCTCTTTTAATAAGCAGGTCAAAATTCTGTTATATAAATTATTCTAGTGTAAGGGAGGTGGTATCACCATCAGGGACAATTTGCCAGTAATTAAAGAGTTCTCGTTTCAATGCCAGGCTATCATCTCCTATGCACAATGTATGTATGTTTTCTGAGCTCCAGGATTGAAGGAGAGACTTTTTAATTAGCATCAATCTCGCTGGTGGTGGCGATATATGCTTTACATACTACTGGCATAATCTACACAACAGGATTTTGGCCAATGTCTACTAATACAAATAATGCTAAAGAAACCTGGAATGAGAGAAGCCCACTGAAAGCAGAAGCAGCAAAAATTTGGAAAGCCCTCCTGTAATGTCTATCTTATTGCCCAAAAACATAAAAGGTCAGAAACTGTCAGTGATTTCTGATATCAATTAAACACCTTTGCATTTATAAAACAGAGTAATTTTGAAACTTCAGTATTTCTAATATATAACTTTATTCTGAAAGTCACTTAACAAAGAACTCTGTTCTGCTGAAAACATTTTTCTACTTACCTCCACTTGCATACTCCATGATTAAGTAGAGTGTTTTTTCAGTTTCAATTACTTCAAACAGTTTAACTGGAAGAAAAAGAGAAGTTCTGATTTAGGAATTCAGAATCAATATGTCTTATCTACACACACAATATTTGTAATATCTGTCACTAGACTATGTTTTCCTACTTGATACTCCAAATGGTTACTTCAAAGCTTGTAAGGAGGCAGGGCAATGTTTAGAAAGTACATATTTGCACACAAGTGCTCACTAACAATGCGTAAGCACTGCAAGATGCCCTCTGCCCATCAACTTTACAAGCTAGCAAATTATGCAAAATCAGGCCAATTGTCTAGCAAGCTACTTGTGTGTCTCTACACATGGGTGTCAGGGCAAAAATTGAGCTGATTTGTCTCTCCATCTTGGCAGTGCATTACTACTGGAAAAAGAAAAAAGGGGGGGATGAGAGACAATGTGGCTTGCTTTCTAGACTTGCTTTCCATTATCTCCTGGAAGCACAAGTCACTTGGAAAACAAGGTATATACAATGTGCCCACCCCTCAACATCCAGAAGGTGCTCACCTCTGATCTATCCAATATATTTTATTGAAATTGCTGAGAATGTTCTCTGCTATAAGCTACAGATTCCCATCAAGCCAAAGCCACATTTGCCAGCTATCCAAAGTGTAACAAAGCATCTGATTGCCTCTGAGCCCTGAACAATTCAATAAGCCACATTAGAAGCCTGGGGGAGTCTGAAAAGCAGTTTATAACATGGAATGAATGATCAAAGAACAGCATCCTAAACTCCACTGAACCCCAACCTACAGTGAGCTCTGTCGACCATAGCTGTAACAATTTATTATGTATTTGGTGATGCAGACTAATGTTGCAACAACTGAACCACTTACAGAATAAATGTGGCAGGTCTTCTAAGTGGTTTCAGGAAGCATCAATTGATTATGTTTTAGGAAATGGACAACCCCCCCGCTCCACCCCCTATTGGTTAGGAACACAAATCAAAGACTAATGCAGAAACATCCATATGAGACCATTCCACCATTATACAGGCATCAACAAGAGCTTTAATGCACTGGATAAGTCAAACCATTGTACAGTTCATAGTATTTATTACCTGAATAATAAAACTATTTAAATATACCAAGAATAGTACCTCAGAAATTAAACATTAACAAGCAGTTGTCTGTTTGTTAATGTGTAATTTCTGAGGTACTATACTGGGTATATTTAAACAGTGCTGCAATTTAGCCATAATCCTACTTTGCTTAATTAAATAAAAACCAATACAAATGGAAAATGTGTCCTTCCCTGTGCTTGGGTTTTTAGTTAAAACAGCGTAAGACTGCATTGTAGTGAAGAGCAATTTTATATTTTTAAAAAAAGTTAGTTACAATTGTTACTCATTTAGTAAGAAACACAAAAGGGATAAATAGCCTTTTCCCACCTAGTTCTACCCGTGTCACTCATTCTAGCCATGCTGGGCAGCTGAGGGGCTTAACTCCGAGAGAGGTCCAGAAGGAAAAAAACAGGCCTTCTCGGCAGTGGTCCCTCACCTTTGGAACATCCTCCCCCCGAGATCTACCTGGCTCCCCCGCTGGGAGTTTTTAAGAACAAACTGAAGGGAAGAAAATTGTTCCTCCTTTTTCTATTGACAGCACCTCCCATCAGCGAAGGAAAATGAACTAGAGTCTCCCCATAAGGGCTACAGATGCACGTAAACCTACATTTTTTAAAGAGGGAAAAAGAAAAATCTGGAACAACCGTGCTATTTATTTCTAGCTGTAACTGATTTTTCTCAACCCTTTCCTAGGGTACTGACTCTTAGTGCTGCCAGCCAAAAACATATTCCAAGTCAAAAATTTATATTGAAAAAAATAAGAAAATTATTGCTTGCCTTGTTAATACATGGATACATCGTCATTCAATTATCCATGCTATAATGTGATTTGCACTTAAGATACTGAAGTGATGGATATTTATAGAGTCAGCTGGACATATTTGGCTGCTGAAAGAGACCTACAGAGCCATTTTTTTCGTTGATTTAAGTCCTGCATCTACAGTCACTTCCCTTAGATATAGTTACAGTTACACCAATAACCATGGCTTCATCACAGGGGCAAAAAGGATTTATGGACCATTTAGTCCACCCCCATGTAATGAATTACTTCCAGTTTTCATCAACCATAAGTTTGCCACTATTCCTGAAAACAGCAAAATATGGTTTCACTACAAAAATAGCTACTACTTTTATTTTTAATTAGATTTCTTAATTAGTTATTTCAACTAAAACTGCTAATTGTCAGACAGTATCTATGTGTACCATAATTATATATCTTGAGTAAAGAAAATACTGCTGTTACAAAGAAAGCTTTTGAAGAACTAGAAGTCTTTCAAACTGTTTTAAACTCCTAAATAGTCCATGATAAGCTGAATGCAATAACTGTTAGAGCTCAGATTTAATTTCTGGCAATTGAAGTCTAGTTACAACTTACAGTATTTTGCCCTTTCCAATGAATAAAAATCAAGAGTTCCTATAAAGCCTATCCAATGAAATATTTGCCGCAGAATCCAACCCCTTTTAATTAGGAATGGATGTGGCTTACATTTGGATGCCAGTTACAGGTGGCACAACCCAACTGCAAATGCAAAAGCACGTGTTTTATTTATTTTATTTATTTATTTACAGTATTTTTAGCCACACCATTACCAGTGGTAATTTAGCATGCATAGTGCACCATCGGGAAACAGCATCCACTTTTACTAACGTATTTTAAAAGTGCATTGTTCTCTACACTGTGCATTAGGCATACATTTTGCATCAAGAATCCTGAAATCTAGACACAGGAATGTCTTGAGAAATAATTACTTTAAAGTGGTTTATAGTACCAATTGTAGCTTATTTTTGCTGTTGTGTTCCTCAAATTGCTTCAGACTTATGGTGAACCTATGAATGAATGAATGACAGTCAGGTCTTATAAATACAAGGCTGTGGCTTTCTTACTGAAGTTTAAGTTTCACACTAAGTATTATTTTAGATTGACTTATAAATGTAAAAGAAGGATTGGGAATAATGTAGAGGCTATCTACAGAAACTAAAATTGAGTCTGGAGATTAGGAAGTTCTGAGTCAGGAAATCAATCAAATCTCTTAATTACAAAGCACAAGCTAGAATCCTGTTTTCTTCCATGACCTTGTAAGCAGACCCATGTAAACTCTTTCTCCCTCTGGCAGGACTTCCACCACTTCAACAAGCAAAAACAGATTGTGAAATTAGCTGTATACCATCTGTATAACCAACTGTACAAAGGGAAGAACACCAGAGGTGAAAAATATTTTATTAAAAAAACAAGCAAGGAGAAGTCTTTGGGAGACAAAGAACTTTACAATAACCTTTCATCATCTCCATCCTACTTTTCCTCCAGGAAAGTAAAAATGAATATAAAATGTGAAGTATATAAAAGCTTATCATTACAGAGCAACAATAAAGTGTGCCCTGTGACTGGCTGGCCCAATGATTCCTTAATGCTGCTGCCTGCCTCCATTCTTAACACAAATGTACAGTAATTTAATGCTCTTCATCATACTCCAGAACATAACAGAATCTGGGAGTGAGCTGGTAAAAGGTTTTTCACATATACTTATGAGCAATAACATGTATTCATATACATTAAGCTGGTTTCTAACCTCTTGAACAACTGCCTTCTCCTGCAGAATGTGACTTGCTTCAATTATTTCACTTATTAGGAGCAAAGTTCGTATTCATCCGCTTTTATACACTTATGGTAACCTGAGGGTTGGTACCCTGTTTCCCCGAAAATAAGACAGGGTCTTATATTAATTTTTGCTCCAAAAAAAGCAGTAGGGCTTATTTTCAGGGAATGTTTTATTTTTTTCATGTACAACAATCTACATTTTTCAAATACAGTCATGTCATCTTCTGGTTGCTGTACAATGGTGGAGGGCGTGGTTTCACTTAACTAGGGCTTATGTATCATTCTGTCTTACAGCAAGATTGAGTGGAGCAGAGTGGCACTTACTGACGGCAGAATTACAAGAAAAGACAGATCATCTTGTGATGGAGCAAGTACCCAGCAGGCTACATGACTCTTAAAATAAGGAAAGGAGCACTGAGATACCTGCTGTGGCTGCACTCATGTTTTGAATATAAAAGTCCACAGAAACTTATATTGGATTCACAGTCATATCAGCCAATCTCCAGACATAGACTATGAATCCAAAATAGACAGACAGACAGATATACATGGAACTACGTGTGTGAGTAGCACATTCTGTAAATATTTAGACCAACATCTCAGTGATTAAAAGGTACTTACAGGGGACCAAGCCTTACGTCTTACTAAAGAAGTTCAGGCTACCAAGTCTCAAGTCTTACTAGAAACTGAAATGATTAAATTGGGGCTTTGGACATATCACAGGAAGACAAAAATCACAGGAAAAGACAATGATGCTACGACAATTGGAAGGCAGTAGGACAAAAAGGGAAGACTGAACATGAAATAGATTGACTTAATAAAGGAAGCCACAGCCTTCAGTTTGTAAGACCTGACAGGACTTATTGCAGGTACAGTAAGTATTTCATAGGGTTGCAGCACACAGTAACTCACTAGAACGAAGAGTAATAAACATGCTCATTGATTTTATGCACACAGGTTATCGAATCAATTGCAAAATATTAAGTTTATCTGAAGCAAAACAATACAAGGAGCTAACCAAAGATACTTCGATGTATTCTGTAAAAACATCAGAAGCATTCACAGAAATATAAAGACCTGTTTTACCTATATTTGGATGATTTAAAATCTTCATTATCCTTACTTCCCTGAATAGCTAGAACAGAAGATAACACAAAGGTTAAAGACAAAAATGACCAGCAAGTTTATTTTTATTTTTAAAAGCAATAATTACAATTTTAGGAGCCTGGAAAATTAATGTGCATCCCAAAAAATGTAAGTAAGATAAACTCACACTGTAGTCAAGGCATTAACAAGTTAATGCTAAAGAGATTTCAGAACGGCATTCAAACAGCTTGCAGGTTTTCTTAATCAGAATTTGAGAAATACTTAAATGCTCTAAGTGCCAAGAGTTCAACATTCCAGTAATAATTTCACAGTCTGATAGGTGTCTGGAATCTGTCCAGTTCTGAGTCAAAATCAAGTGTATATCTCAAAAGGTTATGCAATGATATTGATAATTCTGCCAGGAAGCTAGCAGAAATATTTAGGGGAAAAATGCCAGGAAGGAAGGAAGTGAGGTGTCTTCTTGCTGCATTATTTCTTTGTGCTGAAAGCTGAGGCAGATTGAGAGAAAGATGGGAGTCTACTGCATTCTCAGAGGCTGAAACCATGCCATACACTTTTAATTTAAATGAATGTTTGCATAACTTTAGAAAGATAGATGAAAAAAGTGTAGCAATATGCTTTCATTCTCTACTAGGATTGCAGAATTCCCTCATTCAATATTGCTGTTTAGATGGTGTAATACAGGTTCAAAGGAAAACATGAATTTAAAAATATGTGTATCAAATACGGAAAAATACTTATACATATCAAAATGAAAACAAAAAGCAAACCTAAGGGAGAGCAGCAAGAATTCAATACTTGGACACCTAGAAAGTACTGCATCTTGGAACACATGGCAGCTCTCTGGCAAGTTTTAAGATGTTACAATTTTATTTTATTTCACCTTTTAGTTATACCGCCCCATAGCGCTATTCAATACTTGGACACCTAGAAAGTACTGCATCTTGGAACACATGGCAGCTCTCTGGGAAGTTTTAAGATGTTACAATTTCTTGCTACATCACCTTTTAGTACTGAAAACTGAGAGACTGGAGTCACAGAGAATAAGGCCCAGGGACAGGTGAACTCTGAGCTTGATCATTCCTGGTTTTAAGGAAAATCCCTTATATGTTTAGCAAACATTCTCATCTCCTGCCAGAGAGTAGCCAATAGACATGGGGCATTTGCATTCCTATTCCCGGGGATAGGAATACAAACAGTGCTCCACAGGTGCCATGGAGGCCCATTCTCTCCCCGCAGAACTGGCTGGTCCATTCACCCGTCACTGCCCAGCATTGGGCTCCTTCATCATCATTGTCGTGCCAAACTGGGGAGAAGCCCGACCAGCACTTTCCCACCTCCCTGTGCAGCTAACCATTCCTGCAAGGAGATGGGATGGGGAGTCTCCCCACTCAGATGATGAGTGGTCTGCTGAGTGCTCCTTCCATGAAAGAAACAACAACAATGACAAAGGACCCTGGCACTGTGTAGTGACCAGTGAGTGGCCAGCCATTTCTGAGGGGAGATGATGAGTGGTCTGCTGAGTGCTCCTTCCAGGATAGAAACAACAACGACAAAGGACCCTGGCACTGTGCAGTGACCAGTGAGTGGCCAGCCATTTCTGGGGGGAGAGAATGGGCTTCCGTGGCACCTGTGGTGCTGCTATTCATATATGTATTCACAGGCATACAAATACGAATAGCCCATGTCTAGTAGCCAGTCATTCTGATCAGAATACTATTGAGTTTCTGATGAGCACAGAGACTCACCAGCACAGGAACGCAGGATGCTACTGTGCAAGCAGTGATCTCCAAGAAAACCCATCCTCCACTTGCACAATGGCTACATTTATATAAGTGACACAACCCACTATTACTATGCAGGTGGGACCTTTTGCTCAGCAGAAGCTCAGTAGGATACTAACCTGAGAGAGTAACAAAAAATCGCCAGTAAATGGCTCCTAAATTGATTTATGGTTTTAAATTATACTCTAATCCTGGTAACTTTTGAGATGATTTCATTTAGATCTTGCCTCTCTTCCGCCATCACATTGTTCAAGGTGGCATACATATATACAGTGGTGCCCCGTATAACAAGCACTTCGTTTAACGACGAATTCGCATAGCAATGTGATATACAAGCACTTCGTTTAACGACGAATCCGCATAGCGATGTGTTTTTTGTGATTGTTTTTGCGATCGCATTGCGATGTTTTAAATGGTAAAACATCGTTTTGCGAAACGCTTACCGATTTTTGCATAGCGATGTTTTTTCTAACAGCTGATCGGCGGTTCCAAAATGGCTGCCGGGTAAATAAAATGGCCGCCCGCTGTGTTTTTGCCCAGATTCCTCGCTTACCGGGCAGCGAAAATGGCGGCCACATGGAGGATTTTCACAGAACGGTGAGTTTTTTGCCCATAGGAACACATTAAACGTGTTTTAATGCATTCCTATGGGCTTCTTTGTTCCGCATAGCGACGAATCCTTATAGCGACGATTTTTCCGGAACAGATTGTTGTCGCTATGCGGGGCACCACAGTACACTGCATTCCCAGGCTGTCTATATAAAAGAACAAGAAAGACATGCAACAAAAATGCAGTGTGTCTTCCCACCTAGGAGTAAATCTGTTCCAAATTACAGCCAGCTTTTCTATTTCCTCTCCCTATCATATAAATCAAGGATGCCTCTACATTAAGTTCAAATATATGAGGAGGTCTTTAGCTACCTAGCACTCAATATATCTGAAACATATGGAACAGGTACTTTACTAGGCTGCTAGATTATTTTCCCCAATATTAAATGCACAGGCAATTGTAAGTGAGTGGCAAAACCAAACAACATCTTACACCTTTTTTTTAAGTTCTGCTATCACAAATTAATGAACTTTTATTAAACTTTTTGCACAGCTAATAAAGGGAGAGGGGGACAGTCTTTGCAGCCTTCCCAAGAATACCAGGTCTCTTTCCTAGGAAGAACAGCATTTTGTAATCCTCTTCAAAGCGGTGTTTGGCTCTTATACCCTTTCAAGTAACTTAGGACTACAGATGGCTGGCTCTCCCAAGCATTTTCTTGATTGTTTTCTAAAAGCTGCTCTAATGCAAAAGGAGGAAGAGCAATCAAGTAGTTTCATTTTAAACCAATGACTATCCCTAGAGTTACAATAGCAAACTATCACTAGATTTCTAGGTCAGCAAGATAGGGCAAAAAAAGGGAGTCAGTATTCAGAGAACTGTAATATTTGAAGGGAGTCAGTATTCAGACAACTGTAATATTCACTGCTCTAAAGTTGCATATTTTCATCAGCTGGAAATACATGTCTGGCAACAAACCAAGGTCATCACCAAACAGCTAATTGGCAGCAAGCGATTTTCTGCTGAGAACTGACCGGCAGAATGGAGTGCTAATCCTCCTTCAGATTTCTACTTGGAACTGATTCCCTCCTACACATAAAGCTCCCTTTCCTCCAAGAAAAAACAGCTGAGAAGGAGAAATGCACTGGGCAGAAGATGGGTTAAGTCTATGGACCCTGTTGCTTTTCATTTATTTAGTAGCAGCCTGAGCTTCCAGATTTTGATGTCATTCGATGTTTTACGCCAGCCTAAGAAGGTGTTTTTCTGTAATTATCCTTTTTTTAAAAAAAATCTGCCAATGACACAAAGTAGCTGAAAATGCAGGGGATCTTATTCAGTTTATGCAGCATTTTGGAAGTATCAGAATACAAAAATAAGATTGACAGTTGATATTTCAGCCTCTTTTGCACAAATTCTAGTTCAAAATGGGATTCGTCTGATGAGACTGCACAATTATTTCCAATGTGCCTACAACAGGGAAAGTCAGCATTAAAGTGAAACCAGTACTGAGTGTGCAGTTCTCCGAGTCAGGAGTATGTAATGTCTGTAGAACTGACAGAAGAGAAGATTATAAAGAAAACTGAACTAGCACAATTTGGAGTTGAACAACAAAGGAGACTTACCTTTTGTAAACTAGTTGGATTCAACTGAGTTTTATCAATTATTTTTATTGCAACCTAGAAGAAAACAAAAAGCAGTTACCACTGCTGACAGCGAAGTCACAATGCAGAGATACCAGTGTTAATCCTAACAGAATCCTAATTTTAAAGGCACTGCAGAGAAAATAAACTACAAAAATATAGGATATGGATTTTACTTTCATAGCTACAAGCATCTCTCATATTGCTTTTACAAACTGAACATTCACTTGTCTAATGTACAGATCAGGACCTGTGAGGATCTAATGAGAGAACCATTGTGCATGATTCAAAACCAGAGCAAAATGGATACTACTTGCATCCCACAACTGCATAATATGGAGATGGTCACCAGAACTCTAAACAAATGCAAAAACAGGTGATACCTTTATAGACTACTAAAAAACCATCACACAATAAACCGAGCTTTTGTGGATCAAGCACCACTTCATCAGGATTGTACCAGTGCGAACTCTAAATATAGTAGTTGGTGATCAATAAGCAAACAGGTGAATTAGCCTACACAAAACAGACACAAACATGTGTAGAAATGGGTAATAAAATAATTCAGAGGTCACTAGGTTCTCACAAGTCAGAACAGAAATCATTTCTAGATCAGCACTGGATATTATTATTAATCACAAGTGTAATCTGCCACAAATGTGAAATATAACAAAACAGAGGATGAAAAAACGTATTTTCTGTTTTTTCTTCTTAAGGACAACTTTTTTTAAATGAGTCAAACACTTTTAGAATGAGTGAAAGGTTTAAGATGAGATTTTATAGGAACTACACACTGTGAAGATTTATATACACAATAGTCTACAGAATGAGCAAATACCAATTCCCATGCATACTGTAAATATATTTAAGCTTCAAGCCCAAGAAGCATTTCTGCACCTAGCAACAGACATGTAAGACTGGGGCCTTCAATTTGTATTGGCTGCAATACACAGCTTGCTGCAACTTGAAGTTCTTCCTTTGGGTCAAGTTAATCTACAATTTTATTTGTACAAAACTAAGGTAGTTATATTTCAAAGTTTTATATATACACACCAAATAGTACAATTTCATATGCTACTCACATTATGAATAAAGCTTTTAATGTTGCCAAAACAGTAACATTAGATTTGAAATGAAAGTAAGCAACCTTTCCTCTAATTTTCATTCCCACCGTGTGGGAGCCTCGCCATGTACAGGGAGGTGGGGCTTCATCTCAAAAGGGAAATAAACAAACCAGCTACCCATGTGCAGCCCTGATGGAGCTCTGCACACACCTTAGAGGGAATGCTGAAATTAAGTAGTTCATGTTTTAATTTTTCCGCAAAGTAAACAATAACAACAAAAGAATCAGGGGAAACAGAGTCAAAGTGGCTTCAAATTTTCAGGAAATCTTGCAAACAATATGGTATATTTCTGCTTATTTATTTCTTAGATTTATTAGGCAGACTGAGACAGCTCTGCCAAGGTACAAACACTGAAGGACAGAAACTGGTAACATAAAATAGGCCCAGAAGCCTTGTCCTGAGCAACCACAAGTGAATTTGCAGATGTGGTATTAGATCAGTGGTTTCTAACCTTGAGTCCCCAGATGTTCTTGGACAAAACCTCCCAGAAGCCTTTACCACTAGCCGTGTTGGCCAGGATTGAAAATATATAAATTATTTATTTATATATATTGGGACCAAAGACTGGGAACCACTGTGTTAGACACTGTCCTGCTTCAGAAATTTATAGAAAAAGGTGTCATCTTGTATTTAGCCAAAGATAGCAAAATATTCTGGAGCATCCCTACGTAGACCCCAACTTTCCATAAAGATGTCCAAAACTACTAAGAAAAAGAGGTACAGTGGTGCCACGCTTAACGATTGCCCTGCATTACGACAAATCCACCTTATGACGATCTTTTTGCAATTGCAAAATGATGGTCTAAATGGGGGAATTTCGCTTTGCGATGATCGGTTCCCTGCTTCAGGACCAATTTTCGCTTTACGACGATCAAAAACAGCTGATCGTCAGGTTTTCAAAATGGCCACCAGGTGCTTAAAATGGCTCCCCGCTGTGCTTACGGACAGATTCCTCGCTATACAGGCAGCAAAAATGGCCGCCGTATGTAGGATCTTCACTGGATGGTGAGTTTTTACCCCACTGGAATGCACGGAACGGGTTTCAATGTGTTACAATGGGGTTTTTATTTTCGCTTTACAATGTTTTCGCTTAGCACCAATTTTCCTGGAACTGATTATCGTCGTTGAGGAAGGCACCACTGCATTAAAAAAATTATTGACATAACAAGTAAGAAATGTCATAGTAAAATCAGACAAACAATGGGAAATTCACTGAAACCTCTCGATTTGTCTCAAGGGCATTTGAACTCAGCAAATATCTGTGTTCATCTAAGAATAACTACTAAATGCTGCTCTCTCTAAAATGCAAAATAGGCTGCTCTATCAGACCAAAGGGGTATATAATCCAGCCTCCTGCTTCTCACAACAGTTGAGTGGATAACACAAGTACAGGACTCTAGTACTACCAGAAAGGGATAAAAGCTTCAGTCTATTAAAAATTTTGTCTTCCCAAACTGCATATAGTTTTATGGGGGTTAATCATACAATTTCATACTCCCTGCCACCCCAAGGTATTCATCGGCAAGCTACTCCAACTCCTTAACTATTTCTTGTTTTCAGCTTTTAAAAAAAAGTTTTTGCAATTAAAAATGTACACAGTATTCCAAACCTGGTCAAATTATAAATTCATATAAAGGCATTATCATATTGGAAGTTTCACTTTTATTCCTTTCTTATGATCCCTAGCATGCTTACCTTTTTGATAGCACATACTCATTTGGTTAATATTTTCATTAGGCTATGAACCAGAGTGGATAAAAATCGTTGATTTCTTTTTTTTTTTAAAAAAAGTTTAAATCATGATTAAAATTCATGTTTTAAATTTAAATACTAAAACAATCAATTTTTTCTTAGATCATGATTGAAATTTGATTTAAATCAGATTTCAGTCAAATCCACCTTAAAATGAACCACGAGGCAAATTTCTCTTCCAGAAGTTTAACCCCTCAATACGTGCATAAATTTAGAATTTCTACTGCTTGTGTGTATCACTTTGCATTTGTCTACACTAAACTTTGTAAGTCATTTAAATTTTTTATTAATCCATGATCATATTCTTCACACACACACACACACACACACACACTACCTTTTAACAATATAAATTGGGTGCTATCAATATGCGTGACCACCTCATTGCTCACCCTGAATTCTGAAGAGTTATGAAAAAGTCAGAAGTCCTGATACAGATCCTTCTGAAACCTCATTATTTAAACCTCTGAACAGCAAGAACTCACAGCTTAATTCTGATCTGCTTCATGTTTGTTACAAAATAATATTCATAAGATGACCCATCCTTGTCTCAAGACTGCTCTGTTTCTTCACAGCTTTTTCGTGAGGTGAAGAAAAAAAATCCCATTATCCATCTTCTCTATGGTATGCATTGTTTCACAATACTCTATGTTGTTCTTCCCCTGTTCAACTGTTAAGTACATCCTAGCAAGATATGGAGGTTTTAACAAATGTAAGATTTAAAAACATTTCCAAGAGCATACAGAGGACTTTGTACTTGTACATTATAGTAACACCTAATTTCCTCTTTCTACTGTTGTTTGTATGCCTCAATCAATCCGCTTTAAAACAGTAGACACACCTCTTCTTAAACACTAAGCCTCTTCCCCTTGATTCAACTTTCTACAACACAGACAGTATCCACACATAGGAGTGCCAACTCATCTCATAAAGACAACACAATATTGCTAAATGCAACCTCCTTCTGTTGCTCACCAGATGAACAGAAGCTTTGTCACTTCCAGACTGGATTAACTGTAAAACTGTGTTCTTTGGGGGTGGAGTGGAATGTAAAGCAACCCAGAAATATCAGTTTAGAAGACAGCTGCCTGTTTGCAAAATTTCTTTGCCTGGTAAGCATTGTTACTCCATTTGCCCATGATCTGGACTGGATTCCATTATGTTTTTATGTCTTTTGAATCCTTGAATAGCTCTGGCCCCGAAAACAAAGATCACAAGTCTAGCACCAACAATAAGTTATACTTATTTTTAATATAATTTTTATGGCAATAAGTTATGTTTATTATTGGCTATTAATTTTTCTTGGATTTAAAGATGGCATCTCCTGTACTACTCTTTGGAAAGTGCCTCAAGACTTCCTTAACCCCATCAGCATGGGCCCACCTATTTACTTCTGCAGTAACTTTTTGCACAGTGGTTATAAACACTAGAATACATCCTGTATGCAAACATGAAAAGCAAATACCGTACATTAATTAAGAATACATGAACTGTTAAGTTTGTGAGTGGGACTCAATGTCACTATTTAATAATTATTCTTTTCAATAGAAATTAATCGTATCTCCAACTCTTTTATAGTTATATGAAGCCATAAGACGTCATCCAGAATTTGGAGTTCACTGTTATCAGTATGCTGATGACATACAACTCTCTCTCAACTTTTCTTCATCTGCAAGTGTAGTTGTTCAAATTCTAATCGCTGCTTATCTGTCATTATAAGCAGTGATTATAAGGGCCAACGAAATGAAAGTAAATCCTGACAACATGGAGGTTCTCCTGTTTGGTGGCTCAACAGACTGGCTAGAGGGTGTTCTGCCTAGTTCAGATGGGGTTACATTCTCCCTGAAAGATCAGATACACAAGCTAGGATTGCTCCTGGACCCGGATTTATCAATGGATGCTGAAATGTCATCTAGATGAGGAGTGCCTTTTATCAAGTTCACTGGACTGCATAGCTGCACTCCTATAAGATAGAAAGTACCTAAAAACAGTAGTACATGCTCCGGTAATCTCAAAAATAGATTACTGTAACACTCTCTACATTGGGTTGCCCTTGAAAACAGTACTGAAGCTTCAGCCGGTCCAGGGACTAGTAGATTTAATCCTAGTTCTGGCTCACTTACACTGGTTACCTGTTTGCTTTCAAGCTCTATTCAAAGTGCTAGTTTTGACTTAAGCTCTACTCGATATCTAACAGAATGTCTCTCCCTGAAGCAATCTATCCTGCCCCTTTGCTTGTCACAACATTTGTTGCTTAAAATGCCAACACCAGGGAGACCAGAAAATCAACAACTAGAATTCTGAATTCTAGTTGTCCTTCCACTGCCTTGGGAATGCTTATTCTGGAAGAAGTTATCATTGGCAGTTTGCGAAGTGCCATCTCTTCTGACATTCAGAAAGATGTTAAAAAAGGAACTTTATAGGACATCTTTTAATGGTCTTACACTTGTAAACCTTTGAGCACTTGCCATAGTATTCACCATGTTATTTCAGGTAGGAACATGGACTAGGTTGTTATATGGCAGTTTAAATTTTAACTTAGCTATCATTATCAGCAAAGGATATTATGTTTTGAATGTTTATTACTATGATAGTTTATTATTATTGTTACTGAGAGTCTAAATTTTACCAGGAAATGGTAAAATTTGAATGTTTATTACTATGATAGTTTATTATTATTGTTACTGTTTTGTAATCTGATATCCTGGTTGTTGCACACCACCCAGACAGTTCTAGTTCACTATGGGTTGGTATAAAAATGTAATCAATCAATCAATCAATCAATCAATCAATCAGTATTTCCTTCAGTATACAACACCCTGAAGGCAAAAGAGACTGGCACTCTCACAAGCTCCTGATCATGAGTCAGCCATTAAGATAACAAGATTTACAAATGAAATAAACACAAAAGTAGCAGCACACCAAATTTATTTGCTAATGTTTGCTTTATCTACATATACATGGAAGCTTGTAAGTATATATTATCATCAAAAATCATGAAAATACATTGTTACCAGCTGAACTTAATACTCTAAGCCTGTTCAACATCTAATAGTCTACTGGTTTATTACACTATCATTTTTTGAAATGTCAGATACAATATTGAGCGCAATCCGACTGCAAGATAAATTAACATCAAAAGCACTAACTCCCTATAAATAACTAAACAGCACAAACCAAAGATTATCTTAACTGCCTCCAGTACAGTGTGTCACCTCAGAAGTAGCACACACAAGTCAACAGGTCTGAAGGTAACCTCTGGTATATTAAGTTAGCTGGTTTGGTGGTACCAAATTATTTAGAGTGATAAAAACAATTTTTTAAAAGCAAAAGAATCTCTCTCCAAACTGGGAGAATGAAAATTAAAATGGAAATTCTAGTTCCATGTAAGTAACTAAAATTATGCACACACAAATCCAAATTTCTATTGTATAGTGATGCAGTCTCAAGCACCAATAATTGATTAGGAATGAAATCTTGGGAGTGTGGCGGAGCAGCAACTGTGAAAGAGGTGAATTCTATGCTAGAGCTCCTAAGAATGTGTCCAAAAATAAAATCTATAGTGTGATTCCACCTGGAATACTGCACAGTTTTAGTTACTTAATCTTATAATACTATATAGCTGGAAAAGATGCAGAAAGGGGAAACCAACATGTTCAGGCTGTTGGAGAAGATAAGGGAAAAAACAAAGTAAGGGTGGACACAACAATCTATAAAAAGTCTGCTAAATGAAGCTTTTTGCTTTCTCTTTTACTGCTAGAATACAAGCCCATGCAAATAGGCTATATATATATATATATATATATATATCACATGAAAATTAGGACAAAAGTATATTCCCATGTACTTTGTCACATAAAGGAATTAGATACTACAACATGTGATGACATCCACTAACTCAGCTTTAAATGGGAATGAGGCACATTCACAAAAGCTAAGACTACCATTTGCTATTAATTAAAATTATTAACTTTCAAGTATGGCTACAAGTCACATGAACCATTCCTGGGCTGCCCTAAGGACTCCCTACATACCAATGCCTAGAGATAAAAGTACATCAAAATTGCATACTTTGCCCCCAAGTGACCTCCTGGAAGCCAATTTGCTTTTATACATTATTTTGCCTACTAACCTTAGACAGTAAAAGACTTATTTACATTCCAAATAATAAAAAATGGTCTCTGAACCCACAGAAGTTGCCTATTTCTACATGATGAAGAATCCAATTCTGCTATGTGTTTGCATCTTGCCAAAATAGAAGTAACCTGCTATTCATTCAATGCATAAACATTTAAAGACGTTTTATGTTTCCTATATAAATATAACAGCTTTACCTCTCTGCCAGTAAGAATGTGTCTGGCCAATTTCACTTTTGCAAAATTCCCCTTTCCAATTGTTTTAAGAAGTCGGTAGTTCCCAATATGGGGTTGCTCATCTGCACAGGAAGCTATAGAATTCCTACAGCGGGCTCCAGAGCGGTTAGTTCGAGAGGTAACTTCCTGCCGACCTTCACCATGAGAGGTGTGCTGCAACGAAGAAACACACAATTTTAAGATTATTGTTCAGCAAACTAGAACTTGTGTATCAAATTAATTTTAATGGGAGAGCAGATTAGGAGACAGAGCAAAAACATTATTTCAAACAATGTCTGAAGTCCTGCTGTTTAGCATAGTAAGTTGCCCTATAGGAGGACCACTGAATTAATGGAGATTTAGTAAGTCTATTCCTCTGGAAGTTCCACATATTCAAATATCTGTAATTCCATTTCTCCACATTCAGTCCACTGCCCTTGGATTTCCATTTTTCCTGTTTCTTTTTATAACTATTCTTGCCTCCTTCTTCCATTCTGTACCCCAATTACCAAAATTTAGCCTGCAGTTTCCTTGGAAAAAGACTATCCCTTCTTGTTTTCTTTACTATGTAAAACACATGTTGACAGAGGTGTACGAAATAATAAAGTGGCACAAAGACTTTGTTTTTCTTTCAGGTAAGCCTTTCACCAAGTCTGCTTAAAATATATTTCTTAAAATGTAACTAACATTTACATGAGCTCTGTTTAGGAGAAGGAGAAGGTTTCCTACAATTTCTGAATATTTCAACATCAATAGAAATCAAGTATCAAAACTAATGAAATGCAGGCATCAGTTTTAAATAAAATGAAAGCAATGGCAATGCTCTTGTATTATCCACAGAAAATCACAGATCAGCTCTCTATCCCTACATAACTTTGTATTGTTGCAAGTATTGTTTTAGGTAAAAGAATAAATGCAATAACATATATACCAAATCATACTGAAATGTAATAATGTAGACTGTAAACCAAGTGATATCAAAAGTTAAATTGATTAAATTTAAACAAGTATGGAATTATCAAAACTACAATGATCACGAAAGCTTAATTCTTCCTGTTTCACACTTATCGCTATTAAATTCTATACAGAAAATTGTGTATTTAAAGATGAACAGTGTTTACCATTATACAAAGTGTATAATGCCTCTAAGCATGTAATAATAAAAAGTCAGAAATGCAAGACAACGGAAATGCTCATCAGGTGCCCTTGCTCTGTTTGAACATGGAAGGTGTAAATATATAGAATAAACTATATTTTTGCAAAACATATACTGGCTGGAACTTTCAAATTATGTATTTTTGCATATATGAATGAAGGCAAGTAAGAGGAAGATTTAAAAATTGGTTATGTCAAGGAGAAGATATCTGGATTCAAGTAACTAGAGAATTCAGCTGTAATGCGGTTATCTTATAAAAAGACATCTACCGTATTTTTCTCTCCATAAGACGCACCAAATTTTTAGGGGAAGAAAACAGGAAAAAATTAATCTGGGAATTTTGGCCTACTGGGCCAGCGGGGGTGAGGGTGGGGAAAGCCTCCAAGGGGTCCAAGAGTGCGTTCCAGGACCCTTCACAGGCTCCCCCCCTGCAGGGCCAAAATCACCAGCTTCCAGGACCCTTCTGAGGCTTGGGAAGCCTCAGAAGGATCCCACAAGATGGCAATTTCGCCCCTGCTGGCCCCACGGGGGGGGCAGGGGTAGCCTCCAAAGGTTCCTAGGGTGCGTTCCAGGACCCTTCTGAGGCTCCCCCTGTCCCCTGCGGGGCTAGTGACGATGAAATCGCCACCTTCTGGGACACTTTTAAGGCTTGGAATAAATAGATTACAACCCAAATCTTTTGCAGTAATTTCTACTATGTGATGGTATTAATTATGAACAAATAACAGCTATCAAGGTAACCAAAAAGTTTCAATTTCTGTTGAGTGCTTGAGGAATCATGTCCCAAATACCCACTGAAATTGCCAACTAGAAATACAACGTAATTAAGATCTATCAAAAATACTGCCCTGAGTGTGAGAGAAATGTAATCTATCTTCTTCTAAGCATGAGATCTGTTGCACAGATAAGGAAAGACTTCTCTTGAAGCTGAAATTTTCCTTGTAACATTTCAAATAACCTAGCAGCATCTGCTAGGTAAATTTATTGTCACATCTCATCAAGTTCAGAGGTCCTTTGAAGATGCCAGCCACAGAGACTGGCAAAACGTCAGGAAGAACAACCTTCAGAACATGGCCAGAGCCCAAAAAACCCACAACAACCATCAGATCCCAGCCAGGAAAGTCTTCGAGAATACATTACATGGTTCCAATTTATTGTGTTTATTCGAGATGGGATTTTGCAAATATTTGGACTACAGCACCCAGAAGTGTGCTGGAACTGCCTCAACCAGAATCAGGGTAGACTTGATTTATATTAAATTGATTTAAATCATGATTTAAAATTTTTAAAAAAATCAGATTTGATCATTTTAATATTTACATAGTGATTTATAACAAATATATTTTTAAAATTAAACACTGATTTTTATCTGTACTGGCCAGAATTCTAAGCGTGTTCGCTCCACAAAAAGCCCTCTCAGATGTCTGATATAACTTATAGCTGCTGCATAAATGATAAAAGATCTCTCGATTTCTGAATCCAAGGCTGTCTGAGAAAGAAGGAATTGGCTGAGGGCTAAGGAGAAATGCGCTGAACTCTGTGACACTGCAAAACATTAGTCTCCCTGTCCATTACAGGGCACCTCAGAAAACTACAATATCTCTAATGCTTTGCGGTACCTCAGAGCATAGCCCCACCCAGCTGGTTCACAGTGACTATAAAAGAATTCTCTAAGATGCCGTATATGAGATGTTCAACATGGGGCTTATCATTGCAATGGCCCAGTGCTCAGTGCATTTCTATGGCCAAGTAAAAATTTGACTCTGGGTCTCCTAAGTCCCATTCTGACACTCTAGCTACTACAGTGGTGCCTCGCTTAACGATTGCCTCGCTTATGAGGAAATCTCTTGACAATTAGGTTTTTGCGATCACAAAAGTGATCACAAAACGATGGTCTAAATGGGAAAAATCTGCTTCACGATGATTGGTTCCCTGCCTCGGAAACCGATTTTCGCATTACGACAATCTAAAAACAGCTGATCCACGGGTTTCAAAATGGCCACTGGGTGTACAAAATGGCCCCCCGCTGTTTTTAGGAGCCATTTTTTGCTATACAGGCACTCGAAAATGGCCACCCCTATAGAGGATCTTTGCTGGACGGTGTGTTTTCAGCCCATTGGAACGCATTGAACGGGTTTCAATGCGTTTCAATGGGTTTTTAAATTTTGCTTTACGATGTTTTCTCTTAACAGCCATTTTCCTGGAACGGATTATCGTTGTTAAGCGAGGCACCACTGTACCTCATACTGGCTCTTCACACTGAGTACATGCATAAATTATATTGTGCATAAAAAGATATTGTCTCAAGTCTGACATATTTGAATGACATGAAGTGACAGGATCGATGCAAAATTTGCTAAGCTACAGTAGCACACAAAGGAGTTGTAGACAAATCCTCTTCATCATGTAAAGTTACATCACTGTAAAGGTGCCAAGCATTACCCAGGCAATGAGGATTATGTAATGCAACTGCGTCATCAGTCACATGATCCCCATCACCACCACTGCATAGCACTCATGTGGAAATACTTTGTGAACAGCATTTCTGCCATGCTATGAGTTTCAGATCTGGTTTCTTAGTTTTGCGGTGCATCTACAGAATGCACAACAGGATTTCAGCCAGTATTAGCAAAAAAAAAAATACAAAAATAAAAAAAAGGCAAAGCATGCTGCTGCTTATATTCTGCCCCATAGTGCTTAAAGCATTCTCTTGGAGTTTACAAGTTAATTATGCATGCTACCCATTGCACCCTCCACCCAGTGAGCTGGGTGCTCATTTTGCTGACCTTGGAAGGAGGGAAAGTCTGAGTCAACCATGAGCCGGCTACTTGGGATTGAACCCCAGGTCATGAGCACAGTTTTGGCTCCAATACAGCAGTTTAACTACTGCACCATGAGGCTCCTTTCATTATCTAGTTTTATGATCTTATTTTTTAATCTCTCTCCATATTCTACCCTTTCTATTTTCCTTTCTTCTCTATGGCCAGAATCCTATTGGTTACAATAGCAGAAATGCAATGCTGAAAAACAAAGCAGTAAATTGTTGCTAGTTAACAAGTCACTGTCTGTCTGTCTGTCTTAGATAAAATATCCCTCACTGTATCTCAACTGCATGAATTAGTGCTGCATAAGGGAAACAAACAAATTGCTTGTAACAATTTGCCATTGTGGTTTACACCACTGCACTTACACCAAGGTAACCAACCAACAGGATATCAGTCATGATTTTACTGTACAAATGGTATCCAGATGCTACTGCATCTGCCCTGTGTTTCCTTCCCCTTCATGCATAATTTCATATACAGTGGTGCCTTGCTTAACGATTGCTTTGTTAAACGATGAAACTGCTACACGATGACTGTTTTGCAATCTCTTTTGCGGTCACAAAGCAATGTTTTAATAGGCAAAATCCGCTTTGCGACAATCGTTTCCCTGCTTCGGGAACCGATTCTTTGCATTATGATGATTTTAAAACAGCTGATCAGCGGCTTCAAAATGGCCGCCCACTGTGTAAAATGGCTCCTTGCTGTGTTTTTGGATGGATTCCTCACTATACAGGCACCGAAGATGGCCACACCTATGGAGGATCTTCGCTGGACGGTGAGTTTTCAGCCCACTCGAATGCACTGAACTGGTTTTCAATGCATTTCAATGGGTTTTTAAATTTTCGCTTAACGAGGATTTCGCTCTACAGTGATTTCGCTGGAACGCATTATCCTCATTAAGCGAGGTACCACTGTATCACTTTACAAACTGGTGGGCCCTTATATAGCAAGTGTATCCCTACAAAGGTTGAATTAACCACTCTTCGACCTGGCAGAGAGGCTCATCATCCCACCTTCTGCCAGGAGTGGCTAATCCATCGCAAGCTCTGGAGTGATACGAAGGGATCGCAAAGCCCACAGCAGTGGCAGACAGGTGGTCAGTCTGGCCCCAGGGGGCTGGACCCTTGTTATCTGCAATTGTGGTGGGGATATTCGTATACGAATGCAAATATTCCTATCTCTAGTGATGGGTAGTTCTTTAATCCATTATTGTCAAAAATTGAGTCTCAGCTGAAAAAGGACAATATAATCCCCAGTCTTCATTCAATGGTTCAAATTTACCACTGTGTTCTCCACCTTTCAGCAGAAAAGATTGAAGTAAATGGATTACAAGATTGGAGAGAAGCAAGAACTACTGGCATGTCATTGCACAAAGAAAATACACCATTTGCTACCCAAGTACTACAAGGCCTTCAACCAGGTGAAATTTGATTTAAATCACAATTTAGAATGATCACTACTCAGAAAGATTTGATTTAATAATGTGATTTTTTTAATCTCACCAGCAGTCCACTCCTGTTTGTTATAACCATAATATCTATTTTTCACAATATATATTTGCCCCAATACCCTTGCCCAAAGCAACTATGGGCCTACAATAATGTCCACCTCCATTAATGCTCTATTCAATTACACTATATAGGAGCCTATGGGATTTCACGAAGTCTCAATCCAGGAACTGGTCAGCCCCATTTACAAACCCTTTTTAAAGGAGATTTTAATAATACAATATTTATAACCACCATTCACTAATGAAAGCTGTCACCACTGAGGATTTTTTAAAGAAAACAAAGCATCTTCACAATTTAAAAAATCCAATTCAAAAATTTTAAGATACAATTTCATTTTAAAAATACATTATCATCACCAGCATCATTTATTTTATGCACTTTGTTTCCAGCCACCAAGCAGCTGACACAGCCTTGCCTTTGCTTCTCAGACTAGAGATTTCAGAGTACTATTAAAAGAGACCAAAAAGTTAAATGTTTTATTTAGCATTGAAAGTTACTCATGAGGTCAGTGTGTGCATTCCATATGGGTTTATGCTACAAGTACCAAAATAACTTAGCCATCTCTGCAGTGCTCGGATCAAAAATTAGGGAACAAGATGGCGAAAGGGCAAAAAAAGATCCCATGCCAAAATTATAAATAAGATGAAGCTGTCAAGCTTTTGTTTATGTCTGCTCAAAACCTTCCTCTTGGAAAATATATCCAGAATCTCAGTGAAGAGTATGCAGGCATAGAGAGGTCAGCAGTTTATAAGAAGAACATAGCAAACATAAATGCTGATAAACTCTGATTGTGAGAAGAAATCCTGAGAAAGCAAGAAGGATTAGTTTGTAATAAAGTCACTGTATTTTAGTTTTTAAAAACTGACATGTACAAAATTCTCATGAAAAGAGTTAGTGATTCTACAAGCTGTTTTTTTTAATCAGTAATGGAATATGATCTTATATCCAGAAGAAACAGGAATAAAGTCAGAAAGACAAAAGATAGAAATGTTTACTCTTCAACTGAATTTGTAAACCCACCTTTTCAGAAAAGCTTTCCCCTACTGATGTTCCAGCCTCCTTTTTGATTAATAAGCATGGTGAGAGCAAAGGAAGAAGAGAAAAGATAAATGAAAATAAAAACCTGAGCAAAGTAGCACTGGAATTTTCTTAAGAGAAATACTTGCATTTGCTTTTAGTTGCTGTAAGCAGGGTTATTGCAGTAACAGGTTAGCAACAAATTAAGAAAAACAGTATCTATCAACTTGCAAGACTCATGAGTCATGACCGCCTATTCTACATATATAGGGAGTATAGGAAGGCAGAAAACCTGATACAATATTTTATACTCACTGAAGAAAGAAAAACCCATCCTAATCACCTAATTAGGATATTCAGTACAAATTTAGAAAAACATTTATTGAACTTGTCTTCTATTCTGCAAGAAAATAATGCATGTAAGTATCATGAAACACTTCACAAACGCTACCAATATATTTAAGCTGAGCAGGACATGCAACACACTATCTTAAACTTTCTCTAGATGTGAGAATCTACAATACTGGAACATACAACTTTCATCTCCAGATCCCAAAACTCAAGCAGATTTTTACTCCACTACATAATTATATTTAAAAGCAATATATAACGGTACTTTGGTCGTTCTGGACAGACATAACGAGCCCACACTTCTAAACTGTGATTTGACAGCCACAATGACGCTGTTTCACTAACTACAAGCGCAATGTCTGTAGTACATCTAGGACAATTGTTCAACTAGGAATCTGCCATGACGTTGGTTTTCCTCATAGGTCAATAAAAGGTGGCATCTCCAGAAAAATGAACTAACCAGAAATACCACCAGACATTATTTCTGTTTTGGGGTAACTTCTATTAAGCAGCATGCTTTAATTCATTTCGTTTGGAGACAAAGCACTGAAAAGGAAGTTTCTGGAAGCAGCCCAAGCATTTCCTCTCAATAGTGCCCAAGCGAGCAAACATTGGAATTGGTGGTTGGCTCATTAAATCAAAATAAAAACAGACAGTCGTGTGAAAGCTGACTAACTCTTTCATTTTCTTCAGCTACTATCCAGATTCAATCACTCTGCTTTAAGCATTTTTTTACATTTTCAAATATAGATATCAATTTGCAGACTAGCATTTGAGAATGAACAAAATTTAATTTTAAGATATCTTGCTAATTTACCTTGTTACAATACATTTATTTTCATTTCAAAGCCTACAATTCTGTTACAGCATTTTCTTATACAATCCGACCCTGTTTCCTCGAAAATAAGAAAGGGGTTTATACTAATTCTTTCTCCAAAAACACATTAGGGCTTATTTTCAAGGGATGTTTTATTTTTTTCATGTACAACAAACTACGTTTATTCAAATATAGTCATGTCATCTTATTCTGGTTGCTGCACAGTGGTGGAGGGCAGAGTTTCACTTAACTGGGGCTTATTTTTGGGGTAGAGCTTATATGACGAGCATCCTGAAAAATCATACTAGGGCTTATTTTCTGGTTACGGCTTATTTCAGGGGAAACAGGGTACAATAATGCTGACAAGTAAACAATGGCCAAAATTCTCTTGTATAAATGATCTTACACCATGCATGTTGATGATGTCATCAGTCAGTGGTTTTTATCATTCATTAAAAGTTCTCTATTCCATATTCACACCATATCCCAAGACTCTATGAGGGGGAAGCCTTTAATGCCTGAAAGCCACTGCCCACAGTCTTGAACCTGTTGTCTGAACCATCAGTACCAATTTTTGGATATTAAAGATTTCTCCCTAGTCTGAGGCTCCCAAAGGCATTCCTAAATCAAAAAGGATCCCAAGGAAGCTTTAGGATCGGGGGTGAGGTGGGTGGGTGGGTGGATGGTACAGAAAAATTTTAAGAAGTGACAAAAGCCCTCTGATGATGTCATCATCAACTTGCATGGGAGTAATGTTTTGGTCATTAATCATTCAGGGTTATGGTTTGGATACAGGGAAGTAGCTCAACTGTATAAAACATCTACTTTCAATAAAGAAGATAGCTAAATGTTACACAGCTTATTTTTCCTCTCCAGTATAGATAAGTTAGTAAGCAAATGAAACAGCTTCTTTAAGCTTTCATAAAAAGAAAAAGACTATAAAATGAATAAACTTTTAGAAGTCCAAACTTATCACAAGTGCAATGATAGCCAGTGAAAATTTGTAGATTTGAGGCATCTTCTATTATTATTCAGAATTTCAGATTGCAGAAGAAAGCTTGCAAGGCATAATCCTGAAGGAAACCAACTTTACTGTTTCAGACATGATGCAGAAGGCAACACAGACTTGTCACTACAAGCTGTCTACTCATCACCTCTTATCCCAGTAAGCTTGTATGCTAGTGATATAAAGAAATAGTTTCTAGTTATTAGAAAAAACACATCAAGCCATGTAAAATCCTAGGCCTTTTAAATCTGATGCCTAATGTTCCCTGTCTGGACCTTTACATATATGTAGTCAGTGGAATGCACTCTCTTCAAAGTTACAATCTCTTTTTACTCTAGTCAATTTTGAGAACTGAATAAAAAGATATCTTTTTAGACTGGCACATGATTTTAACCTGCTGTGTTTTTATGATTTAATGGTTTTAATGTATTTAGTTAGTTCAATGTTTTTACAATAGGGCTAGATTACTTGATTTCTGTTTCTTGTTAAAATTAGTTTTATCTGTTTTTATTATTTTAAGACATTTGCAAACCACCCTCTGTGTTAGTTTTTTAGTGGAAAGGCAGGGTATAAATGTAATGAACAAATAAAAAAATATCCCACATACTGTATTTCCAACCTCTATCAGCTGTCTTTTCTTGTCACTATCTATATTCTTTCTTTCTAGCCACTTTTGTCCTCAGAGCTTTGCCATGTTGACTCATATTCTGTCTCCTATCATTCACCACCTCTCCCCTTGCTTCTATTACATCGAAACACTTTAACTTATGGCTAGTGAGAGTTTGCAAACAGACAGAGCACAAGTGACCACAGTTCTGATCATTGGAATCTGTCAAGACTATATACTGTATTTTCAAGCAGCCTTTTTTGGGTGGGTGGGTGTTAGATTAGGCAAGAAATAAAACAAATACAGTGGACCCTCGACTTACAGACGGCTTGACTTACAGACTTTTCGAATTACAGACTTCTCTGGCTGCAAAATTTAGGTTCGACTTACAGCCAGACACTTGACCTACAGACCAGAAAAAAACTAAAATGGAACAAAAATGGAACAAAAACGGCTGGTTACGGGATTAATCGGATTTCAATGCATTGTAGGTCAATGGAGACTCGACCTACAGCCTTTTCGACCTGCAGCCACTGTTCCAATACGGATTAATTCCATAAGTAGAGGGTCCACTGTAATCCAAGAATAATCTCTAAAACTGATTCCCTTTCAAAACAGGTGGAAAGGCTATGGGTAGTTTTAGCACTAGAACCTAATGATGAGTAAAATGCATCACTTTAAGAAGATAATGCTGGAAGTTCAAGTTAGAATCTTGCTGTTGCCAGTATTCATCTCTCCTCCAAGGCTGGGCAAGGGATGAGAGATACTGTATTTCTCCCTCAATGCTTTACTTATCGTTGGATCTGCTCTCACCAAAACTTCTAGTTTTGTACTTCATTGATTCTAATCATCTCACAGAAGAAGAAGAAAAGGCACTTTTTATGTTAGTACTGTAGTACTAAAGAACTGGGAGTAGATACTACTGATGGGTTACTGTAAATCACAGTGGTCCCCAACCTTTTCCCAACCACAGAGCGGTGGGGGGGCGTGGTGTGTCCACAGGCGGGTGGGAGAGCTTGCACACATGTGCATATCACGCTCATGGAGGGGATGCTTGCACACAGGGGCCGAACACTTGCGCACATGCGGGGGGAATGCACCCGGGGGGGGAGATCTATGTCTGCAGCCTGGTCCTGGATAGGCCACGGACCACTGCCAGGTCGCGGACCGGGGGTTGGGGACCTTTGATCTATACACTTCCCCTTGAATTGCACTAATTTGAGCAGCATGGCATGCTTATACACTTTTTTCAATGGCACAGTGGTTAAACTGCTGTACTACAGCTAAAACTGTGCTCACGACCCAGGGTTCAATCCCAGGTAGCCGGCTCAGCCTTCTATCCTTCTGAGGTCGGTAAAATGAGTACCCAGTTCTCTGGGGGGTTAATGTGTAGCCTGGATAATTAACTTGTAAACCACCCAGACAGTGCTTGAAGTGCTGTGGGGCGGTATATAAGCAGCACGCTTTGCTTTGCTTTTATAAATATTTCAGTAAATACTGTGCTAATTGTCTCCAGGAAGTGTCCTGAGAAAGACAGAACTTGGACTTACCAAGACCCCTATTGTTGGCACTGTTAGCAGCAGCCCATCAGATTTGGCAGTCCAGATGGCTACTTCTCCTGGCACAGTGGAATGCTGCTCTGTTAGGAGGGGAAGGAGGAGAGGTCGCGCCTCCATTTCTGCCCTATGGTAGAGGCTTTAGGTGCATTTCTGGGTGCGTAAGAGTTATACATGTATTTTGAACTGCATGGAAGTCTGGCACCCCTAACTCCACTGTTATTGAAGGAAGAAGTACTGTATACTGTACGTAGGCCTCAATCTATCTTTTAACCTCTTTAATCTATAGAAGCTGAGGTCACTTTAATCTCTGAACTAAGATCTCCATTTTTATAAATCAGTCTACCAGTATCATGTGACCATGTTACTGTTATTTGTCTCTTCCTCTTTCCTACTGCCTTCAATTTTTCCAATGAGTCTAGCCTTCTGATGATATGCCCAAAGTATAACTACAATTCAATCATTTTAACTTCTAGTGAAAATTCAGACTTGCTCTGATCTGAAACTAGTTCATTTGTCTTTTCAGAGGTCCATGAAAATCTCTCCTGCAATACCTCTTTTCAAATGAATCAATTTTTTCCCTCTCAGCTTTCTTCACTGTCCAACTTCAACATCTATTCATGGTAATCAGGAATACCACAGTCCAAATGATCTTTCCTTGGACATCAGCGATACATACTTTCTCCTAAAGATCTTTTCTAGTTC